CTTTGTGATTTTCATTTAAGGAGTATTTCATTGCCTTTTAAACAACTTATATTTCAACAAGATAGCTTTTTTTTTCTAAGATTTTCTGCTATCTTTATGTGACCTGTACTCATTGCTCTCAAGTGTATTTAAAGGTTTGTATTTCTTTAATTTATTCATAAAACTACAATACAGTTAGAACATGAGATGAGTATGATATTGGTATTTCGGTTCCATTCCAATTTCAAACGAAAATGCTATTATTCTTAATACATAGATCTCAAAAAAAAGCCTACCCACCTAATAGTCAGTAATCTTCGTATAACTTAACCAAGTTAAGTACTCAATATATCCCTTTGAACTGTTAAGTTATCCGAGGCTTTCTTTGACCAGTTTCTTTTGAAAAAGAAAGGCGGGAAAGCACCTAGTTTAGCAGTGTCCTTGCAATAAATCCTCATTGACACGATAACGGTCAAGTGGCTTTCAGAATATGCCGTTTTCCTCTCATCCAACTATCCGAGGTCGTTTCGAAGTATCAATACATCGTAATCTATTTGTTTCCATCCCATCGTGCAGTAACAATTCCATTCTTGCAGTTACATTTCAGATTGACGTTCATTCAAATCGTTTGCAATAGAATACAGCCAGCCCCGATCCTACGATTTTTTCGAACCGGGGCAGAAACTTATTAATAGTGCCCCCTCTCCAGCGTTTGAGGTAAATAATTAAAAAAAAACAAACAAATAAATTATGATGGTAAGCATTATTCGTGACTGGTAACAATATAAAGTTTTTTTTTCCCCTATTATTTTATAATTTTGGCGCCCCCTGAAACTGCCCAGGGAGGGTGCAGGGTTTGATTAGATCCGGGGCTGAATAAAGCCGGTTCTACCTATTATATCGAACATCTACAAATCTAGCACTATAAGGATTAGAGAAAACGATAAGGCTATTCATTCGCACGCTATTTGATATTGAAATGTGATTTGATGATAAAATGTTAAAGTGATGATAAAATCGAAGTAAAAATAATAAGTCCGTTAAGGAACATCCGTTACCCATGTTAGCTTATTTTGAAAATTATCATTTTTATTAATTAATGGAGAAAAAAAATATTTGTGTCATTGCCATGTTTTTTTTAAATAATACAATATTAAAATAAAAATTAAATATGCTTTGTCACTGTGGTATGTGGTAAATATGAGACAATGTTATTGTTATGTACATATGCATTTTGATAGAGGATATTTTGGCCTACGAATGCGATATAAATATGATAAAGGTTTCATAAATATTTGTATGACATTCGGTTTTATGAACAAAGTTATGGACACAAAAGTTTTAAATTATAACCATAATAATAATAATAACTAGGTATATCCTATGTCACGGGCACAAAAAGCACCCAGACTCAGAACAACAATTTATGGATCACACTAAGTGTTGCTCTATGTGGAGATTGAACCCACAACACTCAGCGCAGTAGAAAGCGGCGAGGTGACCGCTTAAACCACTACGCCAACCGTTCAGTCAAATTGATTTGTTTAAAGAAGGCGTTATTCCTTCTACTTAAATAATGTTATAGTTTCGTTTAACCTAATAGGTACTACTTATATATAAGATAAACGGTTATTGTTTTTAAATGAACAGTACCCCTTGGGAACAATACAATATCCCGCAGCAAGTGACCAGTTGTAGTTTTACCAATACAAATTGTATTGTTCCCGATTAATACCAGGCAACTTTTTGTATTTGTGAACCTGTATAATTAAAGCTTACTGCCAATACTGCAAACACAACTGTGTAGTTTGCATTGGACAACTGAGATTACCCATTACGATCCACACAATTGCATATTAAAGCGATCAGTGTAAAACTTGCCTTTAAAAGCGATAAATCGCGGTCTATTTCACCAATTCCGTTGTTAATTACGGCACGGCAAGCTGCTAGCAATGGAGCTGGCAGTAATGAATAAGCTTGCAAAGCGCTGAATTCAGCCGTGATATCGTTGAAATTTAATTGTACATTCACAAGCTCAGTTAATTGAAGTGCTAGCGGTGTCTTTACTGTGATTGCTATATCGTGGCTAAGCACGGCCTAGTACGAGCGAACAAAACGTTCACAGCATGTGAACGTTTTGATTTTGTTTACAGTCGTTCAGTAAGTCGTTGATTACAACCGCGACCGGCAGTAATCAAATAAAAATACAATTAAGTGTAATTTTGCGTTTCATATAATTCTGGGACGTTTAATTAAGATTTTAGTTTCATTGTCTGCACGGATGGCGTAGTGGTTTAAGCGGTCGCCACGCCGCTTCCTACTACGCCGAGTGTTGTGGGTTCAAACCCCACATGGGACGACACTTTGTGTGATCCACAAATTGTTGTTCTGAGTCTGGGTGTTCTTTGTGTCCGTTTCATGTATGTTTGTAAAGTCCCCCGCGACACAGGATTTATTCCTAATGCGGGAGTTATCTTTTAAAAAAAAAAAAAAGAAAAAAATTAAGTCGTAGTCGTTAGGTTCATTGAATGTTAATATCTCTACAAATTTATAGGTTTAAAACGACTAACATTATAATGAAGCGGTTAAGGCAGATTTCTGTGAAACCGTGACAGTATAATTGTTGATCATTTAAATCATATAAATTAACAGATAAAAAAATAAATTTCAAGTTATCAAATTGCTTGACGTTACAACCAGCTTCCACTGACAGTAGAGTCAGTCAATAAGGTCAGTCATAGGCTTGTGCAAGTTTGAAGAAATTATTCAAGTACGGTATACATAATTTAATAACAAAGTGTTTAAATGTGCAATAATATGAAATGTTAGAGATAGAGATTGACCTCATTTACTGTTAAATTTACTGTAAAATTATATTCACTAATAATACACTTTTTGTCCTCTAATTTCAAGCTACGGTTACGGTCACTGTTTTTGCGGTATCTAGCTCAAAACATTTATAACTTTGTCCAGCCGTCCCTCTTGTCATGTCCCCGTTTGTAATTTGAATACATGTCAACATGGCGATAGACAAATGAATAATAGAATATCACATTTTTATATATCAAAATACAAATAGCGTTGGAAGACGTGTAGGGCCATATTAATAGTACGCTACTAAAGACTTTTATTTTATTAAAATTTATTTCGATTATATTTATGTTTGGTTTATGATATATGATTTGTTGTTATATGATTTGGACTCCCGTATCCTTACTTACTTCTCCTCCTACTTCTGGAGCGGAAGCTCGAAAGGCGGCAAGGCCTCTCAAGCCTCTCAGGTTGTAAGTTGGATCTATAAGCGGCAATAGTCGTTTATCATCAGGTAACTCGACTGCTCGTTTGCTATGTACGCCATAATGTTAAAAAAGAGATTTAAAAAAGAGAGAGAATGAGAGAATCATTTCTTTGAATTAAGGTAATAAAATAATAATAATCTACAATCGTTGTTTAACGCATATGATTAATATCATTTCATTTCAGAAGGGGTGAATAGGGGTGGTGACACTCTATCCGTCGCCACAAGGAAATTACTTTACAATATGACTATTGTAAAGTACCCAGCTATATTTTAGGGTCCATTAAACGAATGCTCATTACATGAAGACAGACAGTACTTAGCGCTCGTGTCGTAAATTACAATGTGTAATAAGAACAGGTATTACGGAACTGAAGTCTTGTAGCACACAAAGAAACAGTAGGTATCCTGGCCGGAAAATGCATTTCCTATTTCTCATACTTCCAAGATCCAAAGTCTACAATGTCATAGTATATTGAACTTTTTTGAAGTAACTCTTCAGTAGTCATTTATCATCTTAATACAACGGTCGCGGGAAATGACGGAGTAATCCATTCAAAATGGAGTTCAAGCAAAATACTTAAGGTAGAGAACTTTCATAAAATTTATTATCTATGGTCGACACGTTTTCATTAACTTCCAGCTCTTATTAACTTTGAGTTATATTATGCAAGCCTTACTTTTTTTATGATATGGGGGCAAACGAGTAAGTGGGTCACCTGATGGTAAGTAAACACCTCACAACTCCACAACTCAAGAGTCACAATTGCGTCACCGGTATGTTAGGTAGATTAATTTCTTTCATAAATAAATTATGAATTATTATGAATTATTTAAGGTTTGAAGGTGTGTCTTCTGTTAACAACACAATATTTTGTAGATACAACAAACATTTAGAAAATAATATTTTGGGACATAATACACTATCCTTTTTTACGTGTGGAAACCCCTTTGGGCCGTCACCCCACCGGGGTTTGCAGCGGGGTGGTGTGTTGAAATCTGACCAACTAAAACCACACGGTGTGTCAGTCTGCGCCTGCACTAGTGGCGACCCGGAGACTGTTGTTATTGAAACATCCAGACCCAGCACAGGGGGACGCCGCCTTTTCGCGGCTGGCTGCTATGGAAGGATGCGACCGCGATAAAACATCTGTCACTACCGATTTTCTACTGATTTTCTCCAATGACTGCAATGAGGACCCGATGTGTGCAGATCCGAGTCCTCTCTACAATCGCAGTGGTGACGGGCTGGACTCAACTGCCTTCTAGCGACCTAGTGCAGGTATTTCCTAATGCAGCCATGAACGGAAAGGACCTAAGTCAGTCCGAAAGAAAGGGTCCCGTGCTGCTGCCCTAGCCAATGACCGGCTGGATCGCTTCCACGGTGGCAAAACCAGCACGTGCAGCCTCCAGCCGGGACTACCAACGAGCCATCGTTGCTCAACGGGCGGCCTCACGCCACTCGTGTACTTCTTCGGTTCGTACTACGCTATCATAACCTAGAATAGTCATAGGACAATGGAATGCACATTTTGAAACACATTTTAATTTAGTATCGAATTCGCGACCTTTAAAGGGCAGTCGACACTATCCTACTACACACCCAATAACCCAATTTCCTACCTTTCTTAAACAAAATTCCATCACAAACACTACCAAGCTGCACCGTAAGAGACCGACACGAAAGATTGGCATTTTTAATTTACCCAACTGGCCAACTTACCTATTCCACCAGTAACGAACACAGGTATATCAGCCAATTCAGCTGCTATGATTGTCCCTGCAACTGTTGTGGCACCATCTAGTTTTGCTGCAGCAATTGGAGCTAAATCTCTCCTGGATGCCTTTACCACTCCTTTTGCTTTAGCTAGGTAACGTATCTGGTCTTCTGAAAGACCAATGGTCAGTTGGCCTTTAAGGATAGCTATTGTTGCTGGTACTGCACCCTGATAAAGAAATAGATGATCTATTGTTATGTAGCTTAATTTTATCAGAAGACCGAAGTGTCTCCGAAGTGAGATCCTCTACGAAGAAGGTTGCTATAGGTATATATAGATTTTATAATATATTATAGCAAAATACATACTTATTTAAAAAAAAACACTTTTACTTCAGAAGATTTCATTTTCTCCTTTTAATAGATGTTAAAGTAATTACCAGTTATTGAGCATGTTTACAATTTTTGCCATATTACTGCGAATTGTAAATTGAAAACCCTGATACTCGTGTACTTACTCAGAAATTCACAAACGCGAATATACAAGTAACAACTCATATCACGAAGCCGATAAAGACATTGGAGCCAGAAAGAAATGATATATTACTACTATTGATGTATTGAGACCCGATACCTATTTACTCCAACCGGATCTCAAACTTCACTATGGGAAATAACAAGCAACAACTTATATCGCAAAGCCGACAAAGACATTAGAAGCAGATAGAAATGATGTATGGCTAAGAGTGATATCTTGAAAGTGAACTTAGAGTATAAGAAACTAGAAGTGAATACGGAAACCCCCTTGCATAACATACCATCTAAATCATTTGCGACTGTCTACGGAGCCGTTACGCACTTCCTTCTAAAGTGTTTCACTTAACTTTAATATACTAACTACAGATATCTTTGTAAACTTTTATATCGCTTTGAAGTTAGAATTGTTATAGAATCGTGAATCTTACCAGTTCTCTAATGATACTCTCAACTTGTAAAGCCGTGTCTATATTCTGCGGGTACGGCATTCCATGTGTGATAATAGTGGATTCAAGGGCGACAATTGGCTTGTTTTCTGCCTTAGCACGTCGAACTTCCTCAGAGAATATTAAGGAAGAAGCTTCTAAACTGTATCCTCTTTTATAAAACGCAGCCAACCGTGAACCTCTTCTTACGTGTTTCAATATATACGCCATCTCGCTCTTCTAAAATTAGAATTAAGTTTATTAGAGACATTGAAAATAATAATACTAAACACTATTAGAAAGAAACGCTTTGATCTAGCTTTATCGTCATTATTATAATTCACAATAGTGTTCTCAATATTTTCGTAATTCCTTTCATGTCCGAAAATAAGAATACTGTTGAAAGTACGCAAACGTTCAAAATACTCACGAACCCAGCTACCCACATACATAACTACCCACACAGATGTGTAGATACCCAAATGAACAAAATATTCTCGTTATTAAGATTAAAGAGCTATATATAGCATCAACAAGGTTGTGAAGTCAGAGCTGAAATATTGATCATTGATCAGAGCTGATTTTATCCTAATATTAGTATCATGAAATAAAACCTAGTATTTAGACAATCAAAAATAATAAAAATTAAAATAGGGAGAAAACATTTAAACGTTTCATTAAAAGTATTTAATACACCTAAGTAGCGATACCATATAGCGATATTATAATCTAGTCAAAACTGGATTCTTATTAATCTGGAAAGGAATTTATCATATCTTGCAAAATTTGCTACAGTACATAAAACTCCCAGTATAATATCAAATAAAGCCCTTCTCTTAGCCTCCTTAATTATAAAATGAAAAGGAAGGCAGGGTTAACGGCATCTATAGTAGGTAAATGATATTCCTTTGAACAGTTTACATGTAATCGTCATTGGTAGAATACTGGTATATTATTTTTGTTAGACTATTGAATTTCTAGGAAGTGTGGGGATGTGTAATTCGATACTTTTGACGAAGGCTAGCTATCGGAGCTGGAGCAACTGGACATCATTATTCAAAGTCAAACTATGCGACTCCCATTTATATCCTGTCTCGTTTCACCTGTGGTGACATAGAATACCTTTGTTACAGAAAAATTACCTTTCCATGGTAATGTTATACTCTATTTTTTTGCACCAAAGCAATAACAGTAGGTCGTAAAGTGTTTTTTTTTAAGTTCTTTTATATTCACTAACAATTTTCTGTTTTATTTCATTGTTATAAAAGATTAATTAAACGTTGGTTCCATATAAATAGAATTTTCAACAACAAATCTAAGACATATACAGGGTTACTGGGTAAGTCAACCTAGATACTTTAAGGGGTTATAGTTGCCATCATTTCTGATAGATTTCAGTTTGAAATGCCGTATCCCAAACCCAACTATTTTCAAGATCTCGGACTTTTAAGATTGCACACACATATTTCATAACAGTCCCAAATAGAAAACGAAACAGTCCAAAAATACAAGCCAACCTTTCAACTAGGTGCTACCGGGTTGTACGCTAATTTTGCATACTCCCGGTTTAAGTATATTTTAAGTATATTTTTATGAATGCTAAAACTATCCTAGACTATTATACCTTGTTAGCTGACAATACGTACGTGCCTTTTAACAAGTCTGCAACTTAACTGTCTGTAACTTTGTAACTTAAATAGTTGTAAAAAAATAATATTACAAACTTATTTCTTTTTGCCTACAACTTACAAGTTAACTAAAAGTTTCGTAATGGAAATATGTTCATGCACACAAATGTTTGACTTGAGCGGGAATCGAACCCGCGACCTTTGGAATAGCATTCCGTTACACAAACCACTATGCCATCCGGTCGTCAAATGTCTAATAAATTTTCTGGAAACCTGTCTAGGTGACTATGGAGGGAAGTTTGAGAAGGAGTGAAGTTTAATGCTCATAAACACAGTACCCACACACACATCCCACAGTGTTTAATTGTAAAAGGAGGTCTTCGACAAGTGCAGTATATTTTCTAACATTCTGTTTTCGAGAAAGTTTTACAATACCGATACGAAAGCTGTCCATGCTCTTAATTAAAGCTTTCTGAGTTCTAAAAGAAAGATTTAGGTCTCGTACAAGATCATTCAACTCATTTTCTGAGAAACATTTTAGCTCGTTTGATGCAATTACAAAATCAGTACCATGTCCTGATTATCTTGGTCTTTGACTGTCTTGTGTTAAGGGTTCTGATGTATTTCTAGACATTGAAAAGTCAGGTGAGTGTTGCACTGGACGCTGACCACAAGAAGCAGCCGTATACTGCCATTTAGATAAATTTTTAGAGTTTATGCCTTCAATGTACATAACTAAAAAAGTTACATTCACTCCGATGATTTTGTGGTTTCTGCCAAATGGTTCGTGTTTAAAGTTTAAAACTACTTTTTTGGTTACCTTGCCAAAACAGAAGCTATTCCAGTTATTTCAACGCGAGATCTTGACTGATCTGATCTTTATTTATTAACTAACAATCAACATACAATCGGGACTCAAGACTTGTCTTTTTTATCCAAGGATATCCCGAGGTACAGGTAGTAAAGAGGCACTTTAAACACAAGCTGATGCAGCTATTCTATACTCTTTTTACATAAATACGTATCAAAAATGATTTGGGTTGTTTAAACATGAGCTCAACAATCTCAACAATCTCAGTCTCAACAATCATGGCGACGTCTAAGCAACTGTGAATGTTTTTAGACGTAATCATCAGTCGGTTAGACTTTGTTTTTGTGTCGCTATCGTTAAATCCGTACTAATGTATTAAAAAAAAGTACTTTATGCCTGTAAAACATTCCCGCTGATAAGCTTCCCCAACTGATAAGCCAATTTTGATAAACTTTAGTAAAGAGATACACAAATATGATTTATTCTTGCAATACATGGTTTTTGAATTAAGTTGTTAATATTTAAACTGTGTATCATCACGATCCACTTTCAAGTGGCATGCAGATTTCTTTTGGTATGTAGATATATTTGTTTATATTTTAATTTGTAATTATTCCGCAGTGTATTTAAAGTGATAAAAGATATAAGATATTGTTTACATCAGTTAAAATAAATTATTCTTGTAAAAGTATAATTTAAGCAGAATACACTACTGTTGGTTGTAAAATTTGAATATTCAGATGAGCAAACATGTTCTATACCTAATAGATGGCTTGAAATGACAGACATCACGTATGCATATCTTCTATGGCCTGAATACATTTTCTGGGTATGTGGAGTTCATAAATCATATTCTAATAATGGAGCAACAAATTCATAATATAAAATATGTAATGTTGAAAATAACAACAAAACAGAAGCTATTCCAGTTATTTCAACGCGAGATCTTGACTGATCAGATACTAGTATCCTTCTTTTATTTTGACTGACTCCAAAAGTTCATGATCGTAAAAAATAAATTATTAATCTCTCATCCAAATTTTGATACTCTATTTTGGGATTTTGAAGACCAATTTTCGGGGACAAAAGAATAACTTCCATACTTTTTCAAGTTCTTGTTTATCTCGTTACTAAAATTCATCTAAATAAACTTGACAAATGATTTTTCTCCCTGAAAAGAATTGTTTTCGTGACAAATAGTAGCCTTTGTTGTACTCCAGGGTCTTGTTAATCTCTATATTAAAATTGTTCCACCAAAAGCAAAGCAACGTAAAAGCTTAACAACTGTCAGAGACGGCTTTTTTACATTAATAATGTTTAGTTAAGTTAAGATTTTAGGATTTCCAAGATTTTTTTAACGATATTAAACACAAACAACTATATAGACTGTATTCTATCGATCACAAGCCAACCTCGTAGTTTCTATCAACAGGAAGGAGTATTAATATCGTCATCACCTAGCAACACGTTTGTTTATAATTTTGACTGCATTTTGCCCGACAACCATTTGGTTAAGTTTGCTTATTTTATCAAGACGAGTTTTGTGTGTTTTTCCTTAGTTTTTACCTACGCATATTTGTTTACATCAGAGTACAGAATTTTGCATTTTATTTAGGTAAGATAATATTTTGTAAGTATTACTCGCTTTAAGAGATGTTACTTTGACCAGATGTCTTGGTTTTAAATGAAAATCGTTTGTATAAAAAGCAATTGTAGATTATGCCAATTTGTATGAATTTTTATACCAATGTATATTTTAGCTTTAAGTATTATTTAATAGTTAGGTCACGACTGATAAAATATTTCAAACAAACTCGAAGTGAATGAGAAACTACAATTTATTTTAAATCGGTTTTTTCTTTTGGTCAATTACTTTGTTACATTTCATAATTACGTCTATCACAGAATCCATACTTATTTTATTATAAATTTGAAAGAGAGTTTGTATGTTAAAGCTAGTATAAAATATATGAAAAAAAACATTTGAAATTCCATTAATTTTTACTTTCACTTGTCTTAACTAAAGAAAGTGCGAGATAAACTTTATCCAAGTTAATAAGCTACAAGTAATTATATCTATGTTTACGGAAATTATCGTTGTTACCTTGGTCTATATACACATGAGATTTTAAAAGTTACCAAACAAGAAATTAAAGTGAAACATCATCATCATCAGCCTATCGCAGTCCACTGCTGGACATAGGCCTCTCCCATTGCACGCCCCTTAGATCGATTTTAGGCTTCTCGCATCTAGCTTCAGCCAGCCATCTTGCGCAAATCGTCACTCCACCCTGGCCTGTGGGCGTCCTACACTACGTTTGCCAAGTCGCGGTCTCTTCAGAAGAAGTGAAATATAGATTTATAAAATTCGTAAATATTAAAAAAGAAAGACATTTCATGCTTTGAAGCTCGTAACCTTTTCTAAAGTATTATTTATCCCGCGCAACGTTGATACAATTATCTATAGTAGTATATCCCAATGGGGGTTCTCTTGGTAGTTTGCCACTTGCATTGTGAGGAGCATAAACTGTTTAGCAACAAAACTAAAGTAATCTTGCAACTCGAGAGACTTTTATTGAATAGTTCCGATGGTCATATGTGGTCTTTCCTAGAGAAAATATATGAGCTATATTATACAGGTTGTTAGAAAAGTACCGACCATATGTTATCAACAACATTTTCAAACCGGCCTCGGTAACTTGGAGTAATCGGATAGCATGACTGACGTATTACGATACCAAATAAAAAAAGTATGATCATGAGGTTCAGGGGTTCAAGTTTCAAATTTAGGTTGCTTAGTCGGTAGGTTTTTGTGAAAACGTCAGATTACTTCATTTCCTCGACGCGAAACACTTCCTGTATACAATAGAGTACAAGTCACTGCAGATTACGTAATAACCTTAACTTGTCACGTGTCTATTGTTAAACTGATACGACAGTGTTTTGTAGTTTATACGACATATTAATGTAATACTTACACAGATAATACCTACATACAGGAAAAATAACGAAAATAAATTACCAAAACGGAAAAGCTAAAGGATCTAGAAGCTCGTATCAGTTTGTACGGTGAACACACTAGTCCAGTTTTATTTACTATATTCAAATGATGAAATCAAATATCTGTTATTTAACAATTTATCGCATTACGTAGATTTGTATGTAAACATCTAACTAGATATTTACTTACGTAGAAACCCCAAAAATCAGAATGTTTCACTACTGCTAACTCAAGTTAGTAAAACACTTGTCTTACGCTGAGATGTAGAAAGCTGCAACAATGTTAAGAAAATAAATGCTGAACACTAACTAACCTTTCAGCTGAGTTGCAAGAGCCACATTATTTTGTACTTCTTATTCTTCTCCTTCATCTTTAATTATTTGGTTCTTTATTTAAAACTTAATGCATATGCTGTACAAAGGCAGACTTAATGCCATTAGGCATTCTCTCCAAGTCAACCTTCAGGTGATGTAGAAATATGATGCGGTATGTGCAAAATAAAATATTAAATTTAATATAATTGAAGTCCAGAGACACACAATATATAAACACACATACATAAGTAAACATACATGCATACATACAATTTGAAGAAAAGCTAAATTGTTTACATTTTAAGAGAGGGTCGGTTATCCAAAAGTATAAATTGAGGTTTTTAAAACAGAAAGGATATAACATCCCGTGGGTGTCGTAAGAGCCGACTAAGGGAGCAAATTACGCACGCAAAGTACGACAACAGCACTGCAAAGAGAAGGAAAACTTGAAACAAACCTTATATCAACCCGTCTGGCCAGCGTGGTATAATAGGGCAAAACCTCCTTTCTAAGGAGAGGCTTATGTCCAGCAATGGATTATTATAGGCTGTTGATGCTAACAGAAAGGTAAACACATAAACAAAGTTTACGATTTGCGTTAGGACTTATTTAAGTAATATATGTAACCAAAAACACGAGTGCAAACATCTATTAATTTATAAAAAAGTCAACTATAACATATCTTTTTAAAAACTTATATTTATGTCTCTTTTAAAACTTGACTGCACGGATGGCGTAGTTGTTTAAGCGGTGACCTCGCCGCTTCCTACTGCGCTGGGTGTTCTGGGTTCAATCCCCACATGGGACAACACTTTGTGTGATTCACAATGGTTGTTCTGAGTCTGGGTGTTTTTTGTGTCCGTTTCATATGTGTTTGTTAAGTCCGACGCGACAAGATGTATTCCTAGTTGTCTTGAAAAAAAATTGTAATAAAAAGTTTCTAATTGAATTATATAAGTAAGATTTTAGTGCCACCATGTTTCACTCGACGAAAAAAAAAGAAAAAAAAAAAGATCCAAATCGTTAGAGCAGTTTACAAGGTATAGGTATGCGAAATACATTTAAATGTGTTGTGTAAATACTCAAAAGTTTATTTTGTGCACTAGTTCCCTGTAGGAACTATATAGGACTACAGTTTGAGCATGTTTTCTTACAAAAAGAAATTGTACCTTATAAATATTACATCACGATAAGTCCTAAATTAAAGGTTTAATAAACAGGCGCTAGACTGGAGAAATCAATTACTCCAATGAAATAGAATACGATCTACTTTAGATAGCAACTTCACTCAACGCAAATCGAAAATTCGAACTACAGTTTTACATATCATGTTTGTTAAAGTTCAAAATGGCCTGGGGACTTCCCAAACTCCCGGGCTTAACGTTTGCGGACCCGACGAAGACGCAGTTTCATATAAAGAGCACGCTTCGATACTATCAAGGTCATAGATTCCCGGATACGAATGTTAGGGGTACTGGAGGAACGGGGACTGATGTCGATAGTAATGCCTTTGCACTGCCTGAAGATTCAGTCAAGTAAGTATTATGTTTTATTTTTCATTGCTGATTAGGTAGAAATTTTTTACTTGACTACTACTTGACTTGAAAACTACTACTTTTCTTAAAAAAAATATGAATTATTTTAATGATTAGTGGGGTTGGTACTGATATCCACCGCCGAAGTCCAAACTGCGGTATGTTGAACAATGACTTCGTTCAAAATCTGATCAATGGTTCAAAAACTTTCATAAAACATTTATCAGGTTATTTTTAAACATATATTCAAAGGCGAAAAAAAGAAGCAGAATTCTTAGTATTTATGTACTTTTGTATCTGCCTTACCCACTAGCGTTGGTCGCGGGTCATTATTCTCAAAGCTTAAACTAAAAGGAATCAAAAAGAGAAAGTCCTTTGTCAAGTGCCAACAAATAACTACCCGAACAGTTCATAATTATTTGGCAATCCTCCATATAGAATTCAAAGGCACTTCTCGAGCAGGTCGTCAGTCGATACGTACACGATTAATGGCTAGGCTATGTCAATGACCTAATATTTGTTTCAATAGTAGGCGGTCCATTCACGTCAGTGTATGTATTAATGTTGGGGCAAACATCGGGGCAGGACAGCATCACTGCGTGAGCGGTTAAACTGCAGTAGCGATCGCAAACCGCTACTAAACATCATCACACATCTTCTAAATTAACTAATTTATTAATTACTACCTGCTCATGCCATCAACTCCTGTGAGGTCGTGCTATCACTTCGCCAGTTAGTAGCAATTAGTACCGAAGCATGGCTCTCCTACGGTGAAACGGACGGTTTACAAATGGACAGTTTCCTCATTAATTTTGGCCCCTAGATGCCACATTGTTCGCAACGTGGTATCTAGAGGTAAAGTTATTTATATGTTTTTTATTTTTTGATTGATTTAAAAAATATAGTAAAAATATAGGATCTTATATAATATAGGATCTTAGTAGGATCAATTAATTCTGCGCACCAAGTACCACCGTAGTATTTCGTTAACATTTTCAGCCGTTTATTACAAAACTCTCAAAAGTAGCTACTCGTTAACTTACTACGTGCAAAATATCTCGAATATTATACATATATTATGTTCATTATTAAAGTACGTTTCAAAAGCCATTTTTAAGTCTTATATCTATGGTTTATTATATTTTAAAGTGAAATATCTCCATCGTACTAATTGCTACTAACTGGCGAAGTGATAGCACTATCACTTCGCCAGTTAGTAGCAATTAGTACCGAAGCATGGCTCTCCTACGGTGAAACGGACGGTTTACAAATGGACAGTTTCCTCATTAATTTTGGCCCCTAGATGCCACATTGTTCGCAACGTGGTATCTAGAGGTCGTTATAAAGTTATTTATATGTTTTTTATTTGTTTGATTGATTTAATAAATATAGTAAAAATATAGGATCTTATATAATATAGGATCTTAGTAGGATCAATTAATTCTGCGCACCAAGTACCACCGTAGTATTTCGTTAACATTTTCAGCCGTTTATTACAACACTTTCAAAAGTAGCTACTCGTTAACTTACTACGTGCAAAATATCTCGAATATTATACATATGTTCATTATTAAAGTACGTTTCAAAAGCCATTTTTAAGTCTTATATCTATGGTTTATTATATTTTAAAGTGAAATATCTCCATCGTGACTTGTATTTCCAATTTTGGTATGTCACTTCTACATACACTTATATTTTAACAATATCTTTACATAAACACTTGAACGCGGTTTTTAAATACGCACGTATTATACGAGAAGTTGAATATGTATTCATTTACTTTTCATTCAGATAATTATATTCCAGCTATGACCCATCACTTACCTACGGCCGAGTGAAACAGCCCGCCCTGCCAGCGGTAGTGCCACACTTCGTGCATTATGACAAACGCTGTCTGAATTTCACGGCATTCTTCAAGCAGCCAGTTTACGAGAACCCGGATGAGAGCTATCGAGTGCGAGTTGTGAACATAGTGTACTTTTTAGAAGATGATAGTATCACTGTCATAGAGCCGAGGGTCAAGGTAATTTTATATTTACTATATTATCATCAACGGTCCACTGCTGGACATAGGCATCTCCTTAGAAAGTAGTCATTGGTCTACTATACCACGCTGACCAGACGCGTTGATTAAGGCTTTGTTTCAAGTTTTTCTTCTCTTTGCAGTGCTGATGTCCTGTAGTTTGCTCCCTTAATACCAGGAATAGAGTTTCGGAGTTATTTCTAAGCTTTTACTGAAATTTCCCAAATCTATGATTACTTATATTATTCATGATTGATTACGAACTTTAAAGAAATACTATATTTTTTATGGTTTAATTACTAATTTATAGTTTTCAGACTTTTCCTTGTACTTGTAGTATAAGACGATGCTACTTGCCAAATTTCATAGTTCTAGGTCAACAGGACCCTAGTACCCTATAAATTTTGATTCCCTTGAGAATGTCGCATTATGCATTATTTGCGGCATAAACGGCCGTATCTTTTTTGTACGTTAACTTAGAACTTTGATTTTTTTCACTGTTTGAAGGGACTGTAGACCTGTATATATATAATTTCAACTCAATACCGATAAAGCGTCTTGACAGACGAACAGATAGACAGATGGACAACAAAGTGATTCTATAAAGGTTCCGTTTTTTTCCTTTTGATGTTTATAACCCTAAATATGAATAAAAGTAGTTCATTTTTTCAAGGATACGAGTACCTTAAATATTTTATTAAGACTAGTCCTTTGACGATTCTATATTTTGCACCATTAGTCTAATCTAAAACATAGACAAAGTTTTTAACAGTATTCAAAAACGTTTCACGCAAACACCATTATGAGACCTCTTGTTTTTTCCTATGTTAACTTCAAGTGTAATTCACAGACATATTTAAATATGTAGATTCAATCCAAAGCCAGGTTCTCTTTATTCCGATCCGTACGAAGGAACGTTATCCAGGAATAATGTAAGTCAAACTGTCTTTTAGTCGCAGATATTACGTAAAATAGATTTGGCAACATTTTTTTTTCACAGTGACGACTACGATAGGTCTTGACTCTCGATAATTCTGTACACGTTATCTTTTATTTATAAGAAAGTATAAGTGAAATTTAAATAAAAAAGTATAACCGACTTCAGTCTAGATCTAAGTCATGATAAATTTTAATAAGCTGTATTCTTTATCTCTTAAATTTTCATCAACTAATCATCACCTTTTACACAAAATTGTGCTTTTCCAGATGTAGGGATCATTTTTGAGAAGCTCTTTGGGTGCTTTCCATATGCAATACGAGTATACTAACATAACATCAAAGTAAACATCTCTCAACTCGTAAAACTCCGGCCATGTGTTGTCTTTAACATTACCTTCACTTCAATTGTTATTTTATAATTGTTGCACCATGACTTATCTAAGTACTACAGTACGAGTTTTGTATAGTTGGTTGTCTGTAAGAGATCATAGACTGCAATAAGCCCGCCCAATGTACTGCTTCTTAATATATGTCTAGATTGTACAGTATTTCTTGGTGTGCAATAAAGAGTATCGGTCTAAACAAGAAAAGATGCCGACAAATTAAGAACTGCCTCTTTTTCAAGTCGGTTGTAAATGCCTATTTGAATGTTGTGTGAGGATGCACAAATTATTGACTGTTAAATCACATTAAATGGTCAAGTAAAAAAAAAAGAAAAACTCATGAATCTGTCGTTACGTAGTTCCATGTCCTTCATTTTGTATTAACCGCAACAATACTTATACGTATCGATTTTCTTTTTCTTATTTGTTATTCTTCGCTGCTATTGGGGGCGCCATGTGTGTTGTAAATAAGTTTATATTAAGAACGCCGGGCCTGCTGTCGACAACAACTGTAGTAAAATGTTTCGCCACCTTGATATTGGGAACCTCGTAAATGAGCCTTCTTTTACTGGAACGTTTTATTTACGCAAGTTACGTGAGTAGGTGCATAAAATTGCGTAGGTACTCCCAAAATATGCTTACTCAAAAAAAAAACCTTTAAGGACTAAAATAATTGTCTCTATCGTCTGTTCATTGTTAAAGTACGTTAAACGTCGAATAATGCCGAAACATTTGTAAGATGAAGTTTATATTACCTTTGCCCTCTCGTTTTTGCTTAAAATTCAAAAATTGTACTAAAATAACCATTAAATTATGCTATAAAGTTTCATGTAATATGAAGAATTTTAAAAACTTCAAGTTGTTGTAAAACTAACTAAAATTAACGTAACTTATGCGAACCGACCATTGATAAATACACACAGCTTTAACAACGTATTTAAACCACAACATCGAAATGCCATCCAAAAAAGTTTTTTTTTAAATATTGAGTTTAGGATATTTAATCATAAAAATATTGATCCTTTTCTGCAAAAGTTATGTATGATATAAATATATCACGAGGGTTGGCGTCAAGAAGGAAAGTCAGTCATAAAGGAAACCAGCCCAAAACCTTTGCATTTTACATATTGCATCAACCTAAAATAAAATTACGAAAAGGGCAGGAAGAAGGCAATGATTCTGATTTTGGTATTTGAGAAAGAAGGTTCTACATGCTTAATACATTTTACTAAGAGATATTACGATAAACTAGACAGACACAACTCAGTTTCACTGGATTATCTAAGTTACTTTATTATTCATATGAATGTGTTCCATTATACTATATGAATACATAAAAGGATACCTTTTAAATTCGATTAGATTTCATTCGAATACAATAGACATGTTATCAGACTCGTGTCCACATACATTTACGCAAAAGCACTGAGTAAAGTTGCAATTCATAAACTTTTGTTCTTGTGAAATAGTATGTATGAAATTCTTAACATACTGTCAAATAAATCCAACCAATTCTTTTACTTAAAAAGCCTGGACATTTCTACTGGATTATTAGCAAAATACAGCACTTTTGAAAATTCACTGCACCTAGATTTTCTTTAATCTCACCAATCTGATCAAATGCTTGTTCTTTAGCTAATTTGTTTCTGAGAGAACGTAACGTTTTATACTTCTTTAACTTATCTATCACTCAAAAGATAGATGTCTTTTCCGTGTTCCCGTCAATAATCATTACTTTCTTTACTTTACTGGCTGGTCCAAATACTGAACACTTCATACAAACTGCTACTGTGTTCTTATATGTGCATTAGTCTAGTGAATGTTTGTAATTGTTACTTCTGGGCATATTGCTGGCGAACCTTGGGGAGGTCCCCCAAGATTCACCACAACAATCGGTACCGGTACACTGTAACTCCTGTACACCACGATCAACAGCAGTGACTTACGAACACACCGAGTTATGACACTCGGAAAGTCCCAGGAAAAAAAACTAAACTGTCTTGGAACACGCAACGTAATTAATCAGAAGAAAATTGGAGTTGGAAATATAATAAATCCATTCCATCCTTAGCAAAGCGGGAGACAAAATAAAGTAAAATAGGCATACACCCTTTTAAACAGGGTATCACCACGGCCAAAAAATAGTATGGGTCCTAAGTGAGCTATATTTGATTTTTATAATATGTATGGCAGAATCGCCTAAACGCACGGAATTTCACCATAGTTGACACAAGATCCCCATAGTATACCGCCCCAGATTTCACCTGTAAGCTATTCAGCATTATATTATGTTCATTATACCAAAAACTACATCCCCAGAAGATATGATGAGCAGACTGTTCACAGTTAGAGTTAGGTGTTGAGCATTGACACAATGTTGACTCAACTAGTTTAAATGAATACAGTTTGCTCTTAAAGTTACCATGACCTGTAAAAAAATTGCGACGGACGGTTGCCCAATCAGTCCATACAGGTGCACCATAGCACATAGAACCTAAATAAGTAGCTCCGTATATGATCTTTAGTGTATTAAATGATAGACCCCATGTTGCAGTTGATATCCTTGTTAATGCACAGAAACTATTTTTAGACTTTTCGTTAACTATTTTAATATGTTCGATAACTGAAAAGTTGCTTTCTAAAACTAATCCTAAATAACACACTGAGGTTATATCTTTTACAGTGACACTGTCAAATTTAATGTTTGGCGGTGATTTGAGGTTCCCTTTTTAAAGTAGCTGGAAGGTTTTGTTGGGTGCAAAAGTTAAGCGATTACGTTCAATGTAATATCAAGTTCAAATATCTATTGGCTAATCTCTCAAGCTCCGCCCTAATATCAGATTTCACCAGTAATAAATCGTCATCAGCATACGCGTTCAGAGTACATCCAGATGGTATTGGTATCGCAAGAATATAGTCGAAATCGATATTCTACAAATATGGACCTAGCACTGATCCCTGTGTTGCCCGCATCTAACAAGTTCCCGCTACCTTCACCAGGTCGTTGGATTTCCTCCCTGTCCCTGCATTTTCTGGTACGTGGTCGCCACGCACCGCCTATAGCTACTTAAGTTGGGCAAAACAAAAGATTTGATTCACACACCCAGAATCAATTTCTGTTTCAAGTTAATTATTTGAGTGCAGCAATATCACAAACTCACCGTTATCCTCCTCTTTCTCTCTAGCTTGCATTTTACTATTGTAAAATGCAAGCGAGAGATATACTCGTAGTTCATTTTTTAACATTAATCTATGAAACTGGCGTTCGTTCAATGGGTTATAGGAATGTTGCCTTTTTATTTTGACATACTTAATAGTAAATAATTAAACTTATGATTATGATATGACATAATTACTCATAGTCAAAGTTGTGATTACGATTTTTCATTTTAGTTATTCAGATTAACCTTTTGCTTTGGCCATTTGCCAATTTATCATTTTGCTTGAAAACGTAAACAAAATATTTCAATAGAATACGGGAACAAAAAGGAAGACTGCACTGTATCTATAGTTTTTAACCAGCACATTTAGTTACGTATGAAATGGAATTGTGTAGCAATTGTAAGCGAATCTGAAACGGAGCTAGCAAATGAGCAGGCATTTGTCTCGGTATGAATACCATGCGAGGCAGTTGCATGATGCTTTGTTCGCACCGAGCGTCTGTGAATGGCCAGCCGGCTATTATTGCACAAAAATTATTTTATCTCAGTAAACATGTTATGTGTAGAACATTATGCTTTTCAAGACAACTGCTGGAATTATAAGGTACACAGAATCTGGCATTAAAAATTAAATTGACACATAAACAACATGTCAGAATTAACTGAGGTCTCTAGAAAAAAGATAAACCATTTTCAAGTAATAAAGCAGATAGGTAATCATGTCCCTCGTATTAGTTTTAAACGTGTAAAGGGTTGTAAGCATTGTGTTATAAACATAAACTATCAGAACCAAAGACATTTTATGACTCCCTAGTATCATCACTGAAGGTGATAAAAATATTTTACGGCGAGCCCAATTTATCGGGATATTTGGAAATACTCGTGTCAGCAGTCGGTAATTTAAAAAAAACACAAATAACAGCTTTGAGGTCCATATTGGTGAGATTTTTGTAATGCGTTTCAGTTTAGTTTTGAAAATTTTGAAAACATTTAAAAATCAATGCAGTTGTAATTTTTTGCCCAGTTGCATTTGTCATCCTGTCATCGTGGAATTTTATAGATTCATAGGTTACTTATAGTTCAGAACAAAAATGATCCTGAAGTAAGTAAACATACTTTTACGCAAGCGAAACCGAAGGCAAAAGTTAGGTTTTTATAATCACAATGCCCACTTGAATCATTACAACGCGCCTAACGCTTACGTTACTGAAACCTTATTCCGCTTATAACCGTTTTCCACAGTTTCTCGCCTTATGATCGCTATTACACTCCTGAGCATCGAATCAAAGCTCGAAAAGTGCACAGGAATTTTTGAAATCTGGCTGTTCGTTCCAGAATTAACCACGTTCAAACAAGAAACAAGTTATATCATATTAGTTTTAACAAATCTTCTTATCACATTACACTTACCAATAACAATATATTTAATTTTAATTGATTTTCTCATTTTCACAGAATTCTGGCATATGGCAAGGAAGACTAGTGAAAAGGGCGAAGATACCCAAAAATGACATCGGTGACTACTGGCACTGGAAAGATCTAGACAACGGGAAGGACATCTGTATCTACGGGAAAGTCTTCCACACCGTGTCTTGTGATCTTTTCACCAGGGTACGATATCTTGTTATGATTATTTCTAATGTTCAAGTTATCTAATGAAAATATTGTGCACTCAACATTTTTCTCTAAATTATTATTATTTTATTACTTAATGCACAATGTGCACAGAGACGGACTTAATGCTAAAAACATTTTCCTGCAGTCTCTCTTGGCATAAAAGAGTATACAAGGATATTACGTGAAGAATAGTATAGGGCAAATAAGTACACTGACATAAACATACACACAGATGAATATATAAATATAAGGGGTGTCTCAGTAAGAATGCACTTTTTAAATATAGAATAATTTTTGTTGTGCAAGTGGCAACTCTGAGATTTGACAGCTGTAACCTATGCCATACCGCGCATGATAGAATCGACTTATTGCAGCAACGATTTCCAGAACACATTATCTCACGAAATTCTGATGTCAACTGGCCACCAAGATCGTGCGATTTAAAGCTCTGATTTAGGCGTATGCGGTTATGGTTTATGGAATTGTTTTTGGTTAAACCAGAAACAATTCCTAAGCTCAAATTAGAGATACAACGCGTCATCGGTGAGATACAGCCACATCTCTGTTTAAATATCATGGCAAATTTCATGAAAAGAGTAATGGCCTTTCGTCAAAGCCGTGGGGGCCGTTTGCCGGATATTTTATTCCATACTTAATCGGAACGTCTTTTTTATAATTCAATAAAAATATCACAACTTTTTCATTGTTGTTTCAACTTGTTTTTATTTTAAAATGAAAAAGTGCACTCTTTTTAAGACACCTTTTACATATAATTTACACAGATGTAAATGTATGAAATAACCAAATAATATGAGCAGGACATCTATGTATATAATCGCAATCGAATTATCATCAAAAACAAAATGCGAAATTACACCACAGAAAAAAAGACGGGGATGATCCAAAGTACCGTAAAACTTTCTCCCCTAATAAGGAGAACGAAATAAGGCTCTAATTTATGTGAATATCAATTTAGATCCCCATCCATCTACAGTTTTAATTAATTAAAAGTATCTTTACTCAATTTTATAAATCATAGGTTTACATAGTTTAGTATTATGTTGGAGGCAAAAGAGATGTTATTCTCGGCAATATTTTCAAAGCAGTTTTATGCACATTTTACGTCATCATCATCGTCATCACCAGCATTTAATAGTCCACTGCCAGATATAGGCATCTCTTAGAAGGAGATTGTGACCCACTATATTACCCTAGCCTGCCCTAGCCTAGATTTGTTTCGAAGTTTGGGTGTTTTCTATGTATATTACCGCACCCGCATTAACACGCAACGAAATTTATCAGAAACATAATAAATCTACTTCTCTACTTATCAAATTAAGAATATCATGAGAAGATACTAATTATCTCTAATAATTTTAGCTACTTTAGACCAAAAATATTCTAGCGCGTTTTCATGCTGCCTGTCAAATAACAAATACTATTACCTGTAATAACAACATTGCTATGATTTTTGGGTAAGTTGGTGTATTTCAGTAAAGATTAACATGTACCTATAATCTGTTATAAACTAAACTTCTGAGTTTGGCTGCGAAATAACTAGAACTAAATTAAAGGAAATGATCACTTTTCAACAAAAAATATTATCTATAATAATAAACTATAACGATAACATGCGAAAAATGCTATCAGTATAATAAATTGTTGTGTTATAAAATTAGTCTATTCTTAATAAGTCATTAACTTATTAAGAATTTATATTTCAATAACTCGACTTGGAAACCACTGTTTATGAATATTTTAATCAAGTATAACATTGTAGTGTATAAATGAACACGATAATATAATGGTAGACAGAATAGTGTACTTAAACGCTATCCAATATTTGAATTATGAACTACCCCGTCGCTGAATTGATTGAAAATGTTAATTTGATTTAATTTAGAACAAAAACTGAATTAAAATTTGGATTAAAAGATAAAGTAAGTACAGTCAGTTGATTTGCTTAACTAGTTTAATAAATATTTTACCCACGGTCAGTATTTTAAGGTATACGAGTATAATAAATCTGTACAACTTTTTGAGACTGTAGAGAATTTTCTTCCCAGTATAGAAAACACATTACACACACATTGTGAGCATGGCTATCATATCTAATCATAAAACGGAACTCTAGTGGAGTGCTCATCGTGGACGCAACAAGCCTCCGACCTCGCGGCGACTATTGGCGTTGGAGGTTCTGGCCATGGTACAAAATTGAAGTGCGTAGGCTTTTGCCGCTTTTTTTAGTGAGGAAGCGATGTCCACTAAAGAGGTGGTGGGAGGAGAATAGGAGATGGCCAGTACTCTCCCGTCCCGAAGAAGTGAGAGCTAGAGCAGAGAGAGAGAGAGAGATGATGAAAGAGAGGGACAACGGTGAGGCTGGCTGTTGCCCTAGCAAAAGCAAGGCCGAGGCGTTGGCGCAAGGTGTTCCGCACGCATTTCTGGTGGTAGGCTTTGCCTGTCTTTTTTCTCGGTATACCCGGATATACGGTATACCCCAGTCTCTTGCAATAGACTTACATGTGTACTACTTACTATGTGGTTTTAGTCGGTTCGTTTCCCACATACCACTTTACCGTAAGCCCCGGTGATATGATGGTGAAACTCGCAAAACTTGACATTGAATCGAACGCTAAACTCTGATACCATCAGTTGCATTTGAAAAAATATTTTAGTTTTTTGGCCGTATACCTACTGAGAAAGTAAGCCACAGAAGTAGTACAGCAACCATAAAAGTTGGCTTCCGTGAATTAAAATAAAATCTGGATAAAGAAAATAGTGATAAGGATTTTTTATACTGATTTGAAACTGTAATGCTGATTTTTTTTTTTATTTCTTAGGTATCCTTAAGTAGATTACTGAGCAAGTGACTGAGCCAGCGAAGCATCATAATTATTTGTTAAGTTAAGTAAGTAAGTACATAAGTTAAAAAAAAACTGTACTTAATTTTTATCAAATACTCGATTGTAAAAATTATTAGTTGATTGTAAAATGAACAAAAAAATAACACATTACCATTTTTGGGAGGGCTAATATAGTAGTGTTAATCTAATTTGATAATTATTTAACTTCATGAGCAGATTATTTACGTAACACCACAATACTAGAAGTGAGAAAAACGTTTGATTACACTACGCCCGCTTCATACAATAACAAAATACATATGTGGGTGGGTATATATCTACGTTATTACGCTATAAGCTTAAAAATCGAGAAGGCGTGTTAAAGACACGCAATGTTAGGTTCACTGACATCAACTAGTCGGTCCATAACCCATCGCTCCGTCCTTGTCATCAGTTAGTCTGCTAAATAGGGAACTTTCCTTCAATTTCAAACACGTCTTGCAACACAAATGACAGTGGCATTCTAACCTCCAAAGCAACGTTTAAACATTAGATTGCATATTTATTGTAGCTAAAGACAAAATGCTTATAAACTTACCTTTAAATGAGGTAACTTGACCGTATTTCGGTAGAAACGGTTGTATACCAAGCCGGGAACTATTTTTAGCTTGGATTTTTCGTGTTTGCAAGGTCACGTGGACGTGTTCTGTACGCGGACGAGGGGAGGGATCGCGTCGCTAAGCGAATTGTATTGGTTAGTACGTAATTCAGAAGTCAATTTGTTGCTGTGTAGATGAGTATTATAAGTCATTTATTAAATGTATACGAGTATATGATAAGTTTGTATATTTAAACTTTTGGTATTTTTTACATTTATTAATGTGAAGCACAATTACTTGTTCTGTGTCTGGGAGTAGTTAAGTATCATATGTATGTCGGTATTTAAAACAAAATAAATATGTTTATCACAGTACACCGCCTAGTGTTGGATCAGACGGCCATGTGTAAAATGTATCAAAGTAATACTTTTCACAAAATTTAAAGATGCAAGGTACCTAATAAGATTTTTCAGTAAATCTTATGACATTGCCAAGTTTCATTATACACTTGTAGTTTATTAAACCGATAACTGTCCAATAAAGTATTTTTTTTTAAAGTGATCAAATTCAATTAATTTATACCTTCAACTACATGCATATTATTTATGACAAATACAAATCCATAAATATATGACATCTTTATTTATCTATGTTTATACAATATCTATACAAATAAAAAAATTGAAGTGTCTGTTTGTAATGTCAAAATAATAGTTGTTTTTCATGCTCACACGGTTATTTGCACGATACCTATGCTAAAACCAGTTTACATATTTGCATAATATGCTTGTTCATAAATATATTACGTTTGTTCCCTATAATCTAAAAAACGCCTGGGCCTATTTTGATAATATTTTACTATAAGGTAGCTGTCTATATAAGGAGTAACTTTTTTAACTATTTTTTCTCATAGAAAAACTCTATAAATTTTTGCCTGGTCCGGAAATCGAACCAATTAAGGCAGCGCTTTTCAAATTCCAACAAAGTCGCGTGCAACAGCTACTTTAATAAATATAATGACTGAGAAATCACAAGGTTGTATGATCAGTAGGTAATCTATTTTAAATAATCGTCATTGATCACCATATCCGCTGCGGTATGTCGGATGTAAAAACAAAATAATTATCAACACGATTTTAAAATTTCAAAACGAGGTACTTTTGCAAAAACAAAGCAATAATGCGAAACGAATGGTGGTTGTAAAATTCTCGCATGGCTTTTCGAATGAAGGCAGAAAGGTCGGGGATCGAGCTTTGAGATACGTGTTTATTGTTGTGGACAGGGCGACTTGATAGGTCACATGGCCTTGTAAACCGATACATACCTTTATGTTCTTTGCACTCAATTAGTTTGGTGCTATTCGATCTCTTTACTGACCTGTCATGAGGCTATTAAAGGGGATAATGTTATGTCTGACCGCATCGAACCCGTTAAAAGTACTGGCTGGGAGTGATTGGAATCTAGAGAGCCCAGCCTATGGTGCTTAAGGTGCTTTTATACCTACCTTACAGACATCCCACGTATTCCAAATATGAACTGGCAGATGTCCTATCTGTTAGAAAGATATTTGTTAATGAAATGCCACGAAGATTTTATAATAGAGTTATTCCTCACTTACCTGTCTCACAAAGACGGATAGAACGCTACCCTGTTCATGCTATACACACTACAATTACTTGGCTCCTCATGTGTACAATAAATACACGTAAATCTAATATTACACAATTCAAAATAGTTAAAATCTATAGATTATGATGCTGTTGAAAACTTATTAAGGGATTAATGATTTATATGACTGCCTCGGTGGCGCAGTGGTGACTGCTGTGCTGAGGTCTCGAGTTCATTTCGCGGATCAGACCAAATGTTTGTATGATTTATAAATATTTGTCTCGGAGTAACAATCACAACTAGATCATTTAGCTATTGCTGGGACTAATGTCGATGTCTCCAGGATGTGGGCGTTAGTGACTGCGCCACAGTTTTGAACTACTGCAGTCACTATCGAATTCATTTTTTTGTAAATTCGTTTGTTATCAGTTCCAAAATAAAGTTTTTTTTTTTTTTTTAGTTTTGGTGTTTTCTATGTATAATATGTATGTATTTACAATAAAGGATTTAAGTATTCTGTTAGTCAATCTAGCTTTCATATTACAAGCTCTGCTTAGTTAGAAACTAGATGGCGTTGTAATCAATGTCTAAAAATATTATTATTATTATGTAGCACGGGATATAAAACAAGCACTTACTCTCGACAGCTCAAACATAAACCTATGTGGTTTCTCCAGAAGCTGATAAACTTTCTCTGTCAAGTTGTTTTATGTGATAAATAAATAAAATAAAACACACACACACACACATACACCCACACACACTCATACACACATATACCCGCACACACAAACCCACAGGCAAACTCTGGCATAGTAATTATTTTATACTAGATTTTTGTACGTCCGCGTGACTGTCAGATATCGCGGTAAAAAGTAGTCTATAGCACTTAGGGATAATATACCTTTTTAATAGTAATAGAATTTTCAAAATCGGATCAGTAGTACCGGAGATTACCCCGAAGATACAAATTCACAAACTTTACCTCTTTATAATATTAGTATAGATGATTTGTATTTATATGTTCACAAGTATTATATGAAGTCACAAAGTAAATGACATTACTTTTGTAATTGAAACAAACAATCATTTCATATATGTTATTTTAACACACATTATTCTTATAAAACACAGTTTAATATAACTTCCACCACTTTTAGAGCAAATATCTAAACCAAAATCACCAACATCACAACAAACGCATTGAAATCTTCTATTCGCCAATAAGCTATATAGCAGTGATGTAGTGCATTATAACTTGAACAGCCATGTAGACGTTAATCAAAAGTGCTACTGCGAAGGTAAGGCCTCTTGCCGGCTGAGGCAGTGGAATGATAATGTACACGATAGTATGTATGATGCGGGAGACAGCAAATACGCGGTAGAGTAGAGTAGCCCAAGCAGTCACTGGTCCAGTGGTCAAGTACAGCGCCCCTAGCACCCAGAAAACCGGTATGTTCTCCAAATCGTTGAGGTGTGCCCGTCGTATTCTTTCTACAACTGGGTCGTCGTGCTTCACCTTTCCTCTCACTATTTTTGCATCCTCTGGGTTTAAGAGCGACCCGCGCCAGACACGCACCGTAGCGGTTATTGGGGCCAAGGCCATCAGCTTCACTGCTAATATTGCGGAATAGACAATATACGATTGTACTGCTGGATTGTTCAGTGTAAAATCGAACATTTTGTTTTTGGTATATATCTGTATAGGACGATAATTCGAACCTGTCGTATGCTCGGTAAAGCAGCTGGTCCAAGAATGATCCGACATTTGAACAACTTTACAATCAACTTTTAATAAAATATGTTTTTACGTCACTGTTACTACATCTTTTTTGCTACATTAAATGTTAGCACAACATACATTACCCCAAAACTACTACTAATACATATCTACACAAAACATACATGCAGATGTAAGGAAAATTAAGGTAACTTTACTAAGTAGGCAGTAGTTACAATATTCTTATAATTGAAGGAGATGTTATCACCCATTATTTCCCAGGAGATATAAAAAAAAACTTTATGTTCCATTCATTTTTAGGCTACGGCCTTCAGTTTCTTGTTATTCAAGTTTATACAATACAATACAGAGCCTTGGCTAAGGCTTCATAGTGTACATCTGTTTATGGTCCTTTAATTACATGCCTTTTTTTTTTTTCGCTCGCCGCCACCCCGGCCTGCTTCTGCTAGGGTGACAGATGGCCTCACCTGTCACCCCCAGGCCTGCGCTTTTGGAGGACGGAGGTCGTTCTGCGACCTCCGGCGCCTGAGTCGCCTGCGGTACCCGGCCCGCCAGGCCTGGGAGAGTCCTAAACCTCTCCCGGTCCCGCTCCGCCGTCTCCTTCGCGAGCATAACTTGCTCGCAGAAGGAGACGGCAGAGTTCCAAGCACTCTCGCTCCGCACGATAGCCGCAATCAGGCTATCGAGCGAGAGAACTCCCACTCCGATGGCCGCCACGAGGTCTCGCCTCTGCTCAACCCACGCCGGGCACTCTGCCAGCGTGTGGAGAGCCGTGTCCACGGTCTGGCCATCGCAGTGGTGGCACTCAGGCGTTGGCTCCTTGCGGATCAGACACAGGTGATCCCCGAAACATCCCTTCCCAGTGATCACCTACGTCAATCGGTATGAGAGGGTCCCGTGACGCCTCTCGAGCCAATCCTCCATAACGGGTCTTACCGCCGCGATGACGGCGTGCCCGGGTTAGTTACATGCCTATGATTGGTATAAGATATTGTCTGTGACATGTTAGTATTTTGATTGATAGGTGCTTTCATGCGAGCAAAGTCACGGACATTACATCACGGACATATATCTTATAAAAATGTGTTATTCCACCAAAAACAGGAATCGCACACGAGCGGGAATTTTAAAGGAGCGGTAAAAGCAGAAATCGAAGCGAAAACGAAACATTGTCATAATTTGCAATATGTTATAATAGAAACATCTATTGATCAGTGTACAAAATAAATGCAAACGTGTATAATAATTATTTTAGTAAACATAAACATTTGAATCAATCAAGACGCGGGCGCGGGATTGCCAAATATCCCATACCGGGCAATAGTTTTAGTACAAAAAATAAGGGGAGGCTTAAGTCAGGCACGCTGCGGTAAACCCGTTATGCAGGATTGGCTTGAGAGAAAACACGGGACCCTATAATACCGGATGATGCAAAGGATGCTGTGGATATTACATGTGTCTGATCTGTAAAGAGCCAACGCCTGGGTGCCACCACTGCGATGGTCCGAGCGTAGACTCGATGGTTCAGACGTTGGCAGATTATATAACTCTTATAGTAATTAATAATGATAAGGCTTGCAGCGATTTTTGATGCTGACTGTACAAAAACAAAATTTAATTGATTAGGTTAGGTAATATATATAAAAATATCAGAACAAAATACTCAGGTATATTTAAAAATCAGTTATATTTATTGACATGTTGACAAAAATATATATAGATAATTTTTTATAGATAATTTTTATCGCTTTTGAAGATTACACCCTAAGCATAGATATTTCTATCCATAGATATAGACATTGATAAAGTAACATATAGGTATAGAAGGATAGGCGATAGAAGATCTTTAAAAATTCATTTAATAAAATATAGACGCAAAGAATAATACTATCACTTGCAAATTATTACATAGCACCGGAATAGTATTGAATGACTTTAACTCCCATGTAGATGGTAATGAAGAAAGGAACTCCGAAAGCAATTCCACGAGCCGGCTGCGGCAGGGGTTTGACCGCATAAACAAAAGTGTGCAGCACTCTTCCTGCCGCATAAATTCTAAACAAATTTGTAGCCAATGCACTCGAAGGCCCGGTTGTTAAATAAAGAGCACCAACTATCCAAAATGCTGGAATATTCTCCAAGTCGTTGAGATGCGCGCGTCTAACTCTTTCCACATCGGGGTCGTCGAACTTCACTTTGCCATTTTTAGCTTTGGCGTCTTCTTCGTTTGCGAATACGTTCTTACGATATCTCTGCCTCGCTGTCAAAAATGACACTCCCAGCATTTTGAGAGCTAACACGCCCGAGTAAAACATGTACGATTGCACAGCTGGTTCGGACAATAGAATAGACGCCATATCTTTATGTAATTATTACAGTTTTGTATAGAACGCGGTGTTGTCCACACTAATTCCAGCGGCGAAGTGACTAGACTGACCGAGCGAGCGTAAAGTGAAGAGCGGCAACGTGCACGAGTGCGTGATAAGACATCACGGCCCGGTTGTTTTGCCGTTGTTATATAATAGTTCGAGCTGACCCGGCGAACTTCGTTCCGCCTAACAGTCAATGAATGAGCAGATTTATGATTTTAAAATTATTTAGTTCAATTTTTTAGGAGGATAATAAATAAAATATAAATTAAAAAAAAAATCAATTATGTTAATGACGTGCCACAAAGAAATTTGCTTTATTGGCCATGTATTTTGGTGCATGGGTTGCACTCTTCAATGAAGCTCCTTGTGATATACGACATTTTTCTCAGCAATGCAACTCTCATGTTGTCAACTGAAGTTTCTACACATAGCGCCATAGATTTGATGATTTGAGGCAGGCGTTTATTTCATAGACAGCAGTTGATCTTGGAATTACTGGCTTTGGCGGAAATCGCCAGACAGTAAAATCATTGCCCCTCCAAAACATTTCGAGTCGTTGTGATCTCTGAGGTTGGCTCGACAATTTTGAATTGCCAACTGAGTCGTTTCACGGATTGTCTCACTTTGCTCTTGTGATTGAGAAGCACGAAGTCGAGCCATACTAACACGACGCTCTTCAGGTGCAATTTCTAGTTCTTCTTCAGTAGTTTCATTCGTGATGTTTTGAATCCTAATTGCATTGCGGCTTTATCGAGAAAGATAAGATCTTCTTGGTCGCAGCATTGTTAATAATAATATCGGTACAATAAGATTTATTTATAAAAATACTCGTAGAAACTCGTTACATACACTTGCACAAAACAAACAGATCCAACGGTCAACTTCATTTCAACGTTTTGCGGTATTTTCAAAACAAACCATAGACAAAATTACGTGAGCTGTCAGTTGCGTTTTTTTATAACATGTATAAAAAATGAACGGCTGGACTAATGTTTTGACTGATGTTTTTCTGATGATATTTTTTTTTAAAATATTATATTTTAATACTTATTATTCTATTCCGGACGAAGACAAATCCAAAAACATAAAAATCATAAAAATTGGTCCAGCCGTTCTAGAGTTATAGATGGTATAACTAACACGACTTTGTTTTATATAGATTTTATAGCCGGCTATCATTTAGTTTGGTCACTTAATCTGCAACCGGCTATCTTTCCCGAAACGCAATTATTTATTTCTAAGAAATACATGTTTCAATTGATTGATTGTTTCATATTCTCTCATTGAAAAGAGATCAAAGATCGAAAGCGTATGATCTACATATGTGTCAATAGTACAGACAGTTATCCCGCCAAAAGTATCACACAGCTTAAATTCGGAACATTAGGTAATCCAAATTTTTCAATTTGGTTATACAGCGACCCAGCGTCGTTCTCTTTAGTGATCTCTAATAAGGAAAATGAAGATATTTCATTATTTTTATAAGATATAATACTATCTTGTTCGATGTATCAAACATTAATATATGTGGGTGTTTCTTCATCGCAATCCACTGCTGGACATAGGCCTCTCCCATTGCACGCCCCTAAGATCGATTTTGGGCTTCTCGCATCCAGCTCCTGCTAGCCATCTTGGGCAAATATGGGTCTTTGACTTCTTTAATTTATATATTTATTAGGACCTCCTACGAAAAATATATACAGGTAAAAAAACAATAATTGATTAAAGGGGTATACAGTCGGTGTACTCCTTCACTTACAGGAGATCACAGCAAGCACAGTGAAAAAAATAATAATAACATCAACCAAGCGAACAAAATTACATACAACACAAACACGATCTAAAATCTAAAAGTAACAAAAACATAATTTAACAATAATAGGCTTGAAAAAATAGAATAAAAAATTTAAATAAGTTACAAAAAATTGTTAAATAAAAAAAATTCAAAGAAAAACAAAGAATAATAAAAATAACGTTGAGGTTTACATTACACTAAAGCTGTCATTTCCTATATTGAGACAAAGATAGGTATATATCTAACTCAGTCGTTTTGGCTAACATGTTATATTGCCTTCAAAGTCTTGGCACTGCGACGTGTATGAATATTGAATCAGTTTCTTTTTTCTTTTCTTTGACAACATTCTGCTCTTATATTTAAGTTCATTTTGCTCCAAGTACAAACACGATTCACAATCACGACTACCAGACGCTAGCGCCCGGGTCCAGAGAACCCACTCGCAGGCGACCGACGGTCACAGAACTCCTGGCCTAAGAGTAGTAGCACATGCTACGGGCACCGCGTAAGCAACGCTTTCTGACCGTAAAAAAGTATCTATTTATCTCAAAGTGTGAAAATATTGAAAATAATCATATCAATGTAGCCAAATTCTTGGGTACATTACATAAATACAAAAACTTAATACCGATAGTCACAACCATGAAATCCACACTTAATTTTAACAACGAATTTACGGAAATTTGAGACTCGGAATATCAATTTTCGGTCCAATAACACCACGGGTTTTTATTAATTCGTACTAATTAAAGTCGGAAAATTAAAAATATGTATTTATGGGTTTTGGAAAAATAACTGTCGTGTTTTTGGATAGTCGGCATTTTGATTCTTAGGAGTTACAAGATTCAAATACTTAAATTTCGTATTATTTTGGGTATTCGTCAGACCGAGCTGATGCTCCGAAGTCGTTTTCATGTGGTTTGACTACTATTACGAAAATTTTGGTGAACATCACCAATAACGTGGGTCAAAATGCAGAGTGCTGTAATCAAGCTTACGGACTAATTTCAAAGATGAGTAAATTGGAAACGGGTATAGTAATAATATTGTGGAACGGGATCCTAGAACGTTTGCAAGCGACTAGTGCTGTGCTTCAATCGGCTGATCAAGAACTTCATCAATCATTACGTGAATACGTTCAAGTAATGCGATCTACATTTTGATCCCAAGATCTGACTTTCTGTGAGGCATATCAGCACGAAACTTCTAGCCCAAGGAAGCAAAATACAAAATACGACCATTAGAGCGGCTAAACTACACTAGACGACTTTATTAAAAATTAAATACCTGTAAATAATAGGATATGGAATTCAGGTCGTTATTGTCACCATTTATAACGTACTCGCTGTTTTACGTCAACGTATGAAAGCATATCACAAAATTACTGGCATTCTCGGAATATTCCGAGAGCTAAGATCTCTTTTTTCTTTTAAAAACCAAACCGAAACCTCCTTTCCTATGTCCAGCAGTGGACTATTATAGGCTGTTGATGATGATATTTATCTATTATTATTATTTATTTATTTGCAATTATATATCACCCTTTCTATTAATGTGCAATACATTGCCAGTTAAACTTAAAACTGCCAATACTTGAATGGGTGTCAATAATGCCTACACACTGCACGATTTAGTTTATAACTACATTTATATCTTCTGCAAAAATAAATGAAATCGTACTCCTTTTACTATTTTATTATAATCTATAGTAAAAATATTCCTACTGTTACAATGTGTACAATTAATTATGTAGTAGAGAAATAAGCTTATAAAATTTGCAAAACATCCCTACCAGTGGGGATAAATAGAATAAAACTTCAACTGTTCCTACTAGTGGGTTTTATCGGTAAGAACAACCACATACATTAAATTTTGACCGTAAAATTTAAATAAGATTGCTAAAATCAGGGTAAAAGCTATGGTTCTACCTTATATAATCTACCGACCACTAAGCCGATCTTGAGGTTTGTCACCCACATTATTACATATATTTTACATAGATACATATATTTTGATTGCCTAACTTTGGCCAGGCGCATATGTGTCAAAATCAATTACCAAAGTAGTCCTAACTTAGTGCTAATTAATTAATATTCTATGACTATCTATCGACGATATGACAAAAATACAAAATAATAAAAAAAAATGTAAAAGGCACGATACAAGGCAGGGGCCAATACTAAACGAGTTTTCCCTGTTCTCATTACTACATTTGCCTTGAGCACACTAGGTAATAATATTATTGTGCAGTAGTTGATGTGAAGTCGCATAGGTACTTAATCAAATTTAGTATAAAAACACTGTTCTGCGGCTGTTGTAATTAAGTTTCTATCAGTATTCTATTATGATAAAGGTAAAGTGACTAGCATATTTTTCCTAAATTTTATGGAAATGTTTGAGCTAAATTACATAATTATTATGTGTATTACTTCACATCCGATTACAAAAAAATGGAACTTCAATGATTTTGATGGAGGTCTTGACAGTATTTATCTTTTAAAAATTATTTCTATAATGCTATTCAACAGTCATGCTATTTAAAAACTACGAAGATGATAAAACACAGCTTATCGTAATTTCCACCATTTTAATATATGAACTTTACAAAAACAACAAGTTTATATAGAACCAACAACACAATCTTTGTAATCAAAATTATGTTACACTTATATAGCGGTAATGTAGTACAGTATAACTTGAACGGTCATGTAGAAGTTAACGGTTAATGCCACTACATACGCAATACCTCTTGCGGGTGGCGGGATTGGAATGATGGCGTAAACGATGGTGTAAATTATGCGGGCCACAGTAAATACACGGAAGAGTAAAGTTGCCCAGGCCGCTGCCGGCCCCGTAGTCACGTACAGCGCTGCTAGCACCCAGAAAGCCGGAATGTTTTCCAAGTCGTTGAGATGTGCACGTCGTATTCTCTCCACGATGGGGTCATCGAACTTGACCTTGCCTTTCCCTGCCTTTGCATCCTCCGGATTAGCGAATACACCGCGCATAACACGCATCGTGGCGGTCATTGGCGACATAGCTAACATTTTCAATGCTAATATTGCAGTGTAAACAATATACGATTGCACTACTGGATCGTTCAACGTTAACGCGACCATTTTGTATACTATTAAAAATGTGGTGATAACACAAGTCGTACTCTCTGTTCGATGGCGATCGCACGAATGATACGCGAGCAATGTAGTAAATTAATCAACGACGCTCAGTGGTGTACTCGCTACATTGAGTCAACTGTATCCAGTGAACTTCGTACCGGTATTTTTCGGTAGGTAGATAACTGAGTTTTGCCTAAGTAACATATTTATCTTATAAGTTTCAAAATATAGTTAGTAATAATATGCTCCTAGCAGTCGCAACAGGCAGTTGGTTCTATTCTTTCGTTGTTAAAATTGAATTAAAATATAGAAGTTCGTCATTTTAGATTAAGATTTAGGAGTAATTAATAAAATAAATAAAGTGTAGGTAAATCTAATTAATTACCTTTAACAATTGTTTACACTTAACATTCTAATAAACAGTTTAACAACACAAACAATAATAAGTTCACAACAGCACTTCTCACGTATAGGTAGGGTACATTTAAACATAATGAAAATATATAACTAAAATAAGAAAAATACAACTTAAACATAACTAAAATCTTAACATAGAATATTACAGATGTGAAAAAAAAAACAGAAAAGAATCATAAAAGGTCACAAGCATTTCCCAAGTGAATTAGAATATTATACAATCAACAGTCACTGCCACTATTAATGAAATTACATACCTAGCTGAGTAACTATTGATGTTGCACTAAGTACTATTCAACGAAGTGGTGGGTAAAGTAGAAGTACCTAATACGAGTACGGGGGTATCTAGCAGGAACGCGGAAAAGAAACTTGCTCTGTACCTGCGCTCAATCTATCTTACCTGAATATTTTGTACAAAAATATTGAATCAGAAATTCTGCTGCGTTTCTCTGGTTATAACATTTTAAAATGGGAAATAGTACTTCATAATAATATGATTACCATAATTTGAAATATTTATGCTGTAGGTTAACCAAATAAATAAATAAATCACTTTTCTTTAGCAATGCCAGAGGTGTAAACCAGATACCAAAGAAAACTTTTTGAAGATGTTCACGTCAAAGGTTGTGGACAACATAGTGTGATGGCCAGACTGTACTGCACTATTCTAGTATTATATACTACCCATGATGTAGATGTATTATTATATTTTGGTACTAGTGGTGGTATTTCTAATAAGAAAACCTAACATTGTACCTGCTTTTTAATTGTATTTTCTATATGGGGAACGAATGTCAACGCAGTATCGAATTTTACACCCAATGATATGTCATTGGTTACACCTAAATATTTTATTTGATTAATCTCCTGGATATTAATCATTTCAGCTAACTAATAACATTACCTTGAGATGATGATACGTGTCTTTTATAATAAGCGTAAAAATAAATAATCGTGATTACAATACTGAGTGTAGAATCCATCTCCTGTTTGGTTTACATGCTTATCTAGCTTTATTACTTACCACTTATATTTAAAAAAAAAACGAAGTATCTACGATTGCCTTTCTTGAATTTTTTTACTATATTGTAATATCTCCGCCATCACTATTTATTAAGCCGTTCATCATGACATTCAGTTGTATAAAAAGCCTCTGACTCAATATTTATATACACCTACCTTGCATTAGTTTGCATTGCCATCGCTAACTTTCAAGGTTTATGTATAAATGCTTGTATGTGAGCTAAACATCTTGGAACCTGAGATAATAATCACATATTTTTTTTAGTTGGTCATTAAAAGTTTACATTTAATTTTACATACACATTTTAATTTTTTTAATAATTTTATTCTGTATACTAAATTCCATGCTGTGTTTGCACATTGTTCTCTTCATTTGAGTGCCTATATTACCATAATTATGTTTACGGGAATTAACACACTCACGATAGGTATTAAGACCATATCTTTTAATTGTCTGACGTTTCGACCTGAAGGCTCAATAAATAATAAATGTAACAAAAAAAAAACAGTCAAAATTTCCGATCAACTCTCGATCTCGCAACCATCATAAAAGGTATTTTCGTAGTAAAATAGTAATGTATTACTATTTTATATTATAATAATTTAAACTAAAACATTACCGATTCAATGTTCGATTACAATACGATATAATCACATCACAGTCGACTTTGGATGTTTATTACTTTACTAAGAAAATACCTTTTATGGCAGTTGTGAGATCGAGAGTTGATCGGAACTGAATTTTGAGCGAAGTTTTATTATGTTTTATTCAATCAGTCACAGGCTGACTTAATTCCCGTTAACATACTTATATGGCATTCTTATATTAAATTATTGAACGCAAAAGTTTAAAAGTTAGTACATTACTTTGTTACATTTACATTTTGAATTAAAGTACAAATGAACATGATATTGCTTTAGCAATACCTAGTAACGATTTGAAAACATTTAATATTACCCGTCATGTTGTTTGCTATAGAACACTTACCGTCTCCGTCGTAACGGTTCGCTTTAATAGCTCCTTTAAAGCATCATAAAATTTCTATAGATTTTTAGGTTAACAATTTCATTGAGCTATTAACTTTGAAGGACTGCAAAAATTACAAGGATGTTGTTTGCAGGAGGTAGGTATAATTATGGATGAATTTCTAAAAATATGCATTATAAAGCGCAAGAGCGCGAAATAGAGTAAAAATAATTTCCTAAATACGGTACAATCGATGAAGAAATATTAACTATCGACCTCTTACCTCCGGTAATTCTAAGTTGGTTTCTATTTTATCCGGTAATTCTAAGTTACTGAATTATATCTTTAAATTACTTATGAACAGGTTAACTTTGTGATGTGAAATGAACCAACACTTGTATCTTCTGACTTGGAAGACTTGTACCTTAAAAGGGCTACTAACGCTTTGAATATATGTTAGTACGAAAGCAGTAGTATGTAGTAGTATAAAGTTTATTTTAGCTGATATCTATTTGATGCGTTATTATTATGATTATTTTTATGTTCTATAGGGATTATGAAATTAGAATTTCCTTTCTGATTTTTGAAGCGCCTTAATATAAACTCATTTAATTAAAAAGAAGATAATCAAAAATTTAGTTTAACCTGTCGTTTGATCTCGTGTTAGTGATGCTCTGTTTAAACGTAGAAAAATGAGCAGAAGTCCTATTTACACAGTACTACCGTCTCGCCAAGGGACTCTAAGGTCAGTGTTACTGTCTGATGTAAATATGAGCAGAACATGCGATCAGCGATAAAAGTACGTCTGGACAAAAATGTAACAATGTTCATCTAACAAGTGAGTTTCATGCTATCCGAGAGGATAGATTATCTAGAATAATCTGCATCTATTGTTTTCAAGGAAACTAGGCATTTGCAAAATAAAACATTACTTAACTTTTTAAGCAGCTACGATTTTCATGTTATTTCGCTTTCTTTGCTTTGTTTTCAATATTATTTTTTATTACGTTCCGGTTAGATTACTGATAATCCCACTGTTGTAATGTTTTAACTAATGAAATGTTTTAGTTTTTAATATTTATACATATGATTTCAAAATGGTTTCCGTAACGATAAGTCTCTTTGAAAGGTAACCTCAGCGGCCCCAATTTCTGATGGCCCACTTTTATTATTCTCATATCTCTTAGCACTTTCCCCTAATTTGATTTGTGGCCCCATTACGTACTCGACAAATTTGTATCCTTATATTTTATTAGGACAAAAATGGGTCATTCACTTAATCTATCCGATTTATACGAAAACAGCTGACGTGCTGTGTCAAGTTATTATTATATGTACATTATTACTCGCCTTGACAAAGCACTTTTAGTATTGTTGAAGAGATTGCAGTTGCATATTATTTTATCGTGGCATGTTTTGAGACAAAGTATCAGGTACCTACTTGCAGTACTTAATTACTTACTTATTTGTGAAAACGTTCTTTCAACACTAAAATGTTACTACTAGTAAATATTAGATCTTTACCTATGAAGTTGCAGATTTGCATGAAAATTTTAAAACATAAAAATATTGGTTATTTTTTTATTTTAGCTAATGAAAGTACTGACCCAAATTATCTATACAATATTGCCATTTTGATGGCAGTTTGTGTATCCCTTTACTGTAGAAGTCTGCTGGATGGGAGGTGATGAAGTCAGCAAAAGCGTTTTGTACTGCCTCTCGGGTGTTAGTTTTTTTTCATGTAAAAATTGACTGAATTTTGAAAAAAGTAGAAACCTGTTAGGTCAAGGTCCGGTGAGTACGGTGGGTGACGGAGAGCTTATACTACCTTACTTAGCTATACTCCCTTTTTTTTTTCCGTGCTGTAATCCCCTCGGATACCACCTATCGGTGGCATGTCGGACTCGAACCGACTAAAACCGCACGCCGTCTCGGGTACTAATAGCCAGGGAATCAGGTATTCCCTGGAAAGGAAGTCCCTGGTGCCCCGACATACCTCGGGCCATCTACAAAAACAGATAGACGACCACCCCCCCCCCCCCCCCCCGTGTGGGAACCCCATGTTCCCTCTGCTCCCTGGAAGCGAGCGCGCTTTGCAACGCGCTCGCCGCCACCCCGGCCTGCTTCTGCTAGGGTGACAGATGGCCTCACCTGTCACCCCCAGGCCTGCGCTCGGAGGACGGAGGTCGTTCTGCGACCTCCGGCGCCTGAGTCGCCTGCGGTACCTGGCCCGTTCCCGGGCCTGGCGGGCCGGGAGAATTCTAAACCTTTCCGGTCCCGCTCCGCCGTCTCCTTCACGAGCATAACTTGCTCGCAGAAGGAGACGGCAGAGTTCCACGCGCTCTCGCTCCGCACGATAGCCGCAATCAGGCTATCGAGCGAGAGAACTCCCACTCCGATAGCCGCCACAAGGTCTCGCCTCTGCTCAACCCACGCCGGGCACTCTGCCAGCGTGTGGAGAGCCGTGTCCACGGTCAGGCCATCGCAGTGGTGGCACTCAGGCGTTGGCTCCTTGCGGATCAGACACAGGTGATCCCCGAAACATCCTTTCCCAGTGATCACCTGCTTCAGTCGGTATTAGAGGGTCCCGTGACGCCTCTCGAGCCAATCCTCCATAACGGGTCTTACCGCCGCGATGACGGTGTGCCCGACTTAGCTATACCCCCCCCCCCCCCCCCCCTCGGGTCCACCTACTAAGACGCACGCTTACGGTTGTCGTACAGGATTCACTTTTCATTGCAAGTAACATGTATAGAATTCCCTCGTTTCTATGCCGATTCAGTAGCAAATGCGTGCTTCAACGAGTAAGTCTCGCCAATGCTCGCTTATTTCGGCATCCACTTATCTAGCTTTATCTTTCCTATTTGACGCAAATGCTTCAATGTTGATTTGACACTAACTCCAAAGCCCGCAGCAAGCTCTGCCGTAGACTGAGTTGGAACCACTTCCACTATCGCCTTTAATTCGTCGTTATCGACTATAGTTACCGGTAGACCACGGAAACTGGTTCATTAAATTAGTTCAGTAAAATTTCCAGATCTAAAACGAGCGTGATCCAAATGGACCGTGTTTATGTTTATGTTCTAGAGTGATTATTTAAAAAACATCCACACACAATATCCTCATAAACTTACGTGTATAAAATATTAATATAGGTTTATCTATACTTATTGAAGACAACTTCAAATTATTATTAGAAAAAAATACATAATGGTCATATTATTAAATAAGTAAACATATGGAATATTTATAATACTTTTTCCCTTATTTTTTTATTCTCAATTAAATATATAGATGTCGAGCAATGATTTAAACCATCGTTTCTCTTTTACTTTTTAATAGAAAACCTGCGGATATTATTAAAATTGTCTATCAAAAACATTTTTTTCTTCAAATTGAGCACAAATAAGAAAACATGATCCTACTATTAACGTCTATTAAAGTATGATTGAATACTCTTTGCCGTAGGTACTAAGTAGGTAATAACTTGTTACTTTTTTTTAAGTAAATCAAACCGCCGTAAACCACGCATATTTCTTCTTGTTGTTGGTTTAGATGATGTTTTAGGTTAAAGATAAAACAACTTAATCAAAGACACTGCTAAATTCACACACACACAAAACATAGATAATAACTCGCATAATGATTTCATAACATTGTTTAAAAATATTAATATTTCTAGTAGCGCCTTAAGTAATAAAATAGCAACATTTATTTTTACATTCTGGAAAAAATAGAATACTAATAATTTTGAAATATTGAGAAAAGTAATTTAAAGTACTCGTAAGGAAAAAATATTTAAAAAAAAAAAGGCAAAAGATCCTCGTCACGAAATTTCGATAAACTTTCATAAAAGTAACGCCCCCGGGTGGGCTCGAACCACCAACCTTTCGGTTAACAGCCGAACGCGCTAACCAATTGCGCCACGGAGGCTTGCGATGATACTTTTGAAATTAGCCATTCCATGTCATATAGCTATGTATGTGTTTGTATTTTGTACGTTTTGACTATGATAAGTACTTCTAGCAAGATTTGAGATTTATGTTACTCGCCTTCATTGAATTACTTCTTGTTAATGATTCATAATATCGAAAATTGAATATTACACTAATAATAAACCGGCAGAGGGACGAATAGACAGACAGATGGAGAATGCAAAATTATAATTGGAGTTAGGATTATGGCACCCGAAAACCAATAAAACTATAAAATAGTGCCCTATTATAGAACGATATAATAAACTGCTATTCTAATTGTATTATATCGCAGGGATTACTAATTTGTTAAAATGCTACATATTTATTATTTAATAAGCCACGCCACCAACGTACACAACTGATAAATATTTCTGCTATCAACAAAGCGCAATATAAGAGGAGATAGGGTTGGCAGCACACATGTTACACTTTTTGGTGTCCCAAAGACATATGTATATATATATATAAATGGGCCAGTAATGGCAGTGCTTATAACAAGGAAATGCTTGTTTGATAATTTAGTTGTAACAACACGTCTGATTATATTAAAATAAATACCGGGCAAGTGTAAGTACATACAAACTTGTAGGAATTGAATCTCAAACCAAGATGGTTTTACATTTTAACCGATTGCCTTCTTAACTTCGTTTCTACCAAACTTCCTAAAATATCGATATTCTATACTACGGCAATAACTAACACATTGATAAATATCGTCTTAAAAATGCAGCCACTGTACCTACCAAAATTGCTACAAACATGTAATCTAGAAAGAAAAAGGGATTGCTGTTCCTAGATCAGTGCATGGTTTAGCGGTCGGTTGGCTATAGTCGTACTATAAGGCGTATCATTGCTTATTCCGCTGTGAGAATTTATTTTTAAGGAATATTGCGATAAGAAGTAATTATAACGTAATCAATACGACCTCGATATAAATGCATGTCATCGTGACAGCAATTGACACATCGTCCACAAGCCAGTCATTTCGATTATCATTGTCGATACTTCTTGATATTACGATTTAATCATTAAAATTATTTATCTACATAAATAATTTTAATGATTCCATACCACAGAGACGGATTAAAAAACAAGAAAATAATAGGCGCCAATATGCTGCCAACGTGTAGAAAGAACACTCTATTTAACCTGGTGAATCTTTTTTATGGAATCACTCGTAACAAAGTGAAAAAGTCTCATCCTATTAAAAGGAGTTACAATGTATATCAGTGCCGCCACTTCGCAGCATTAAAATAAATCACCCAATCTATTGTAACTTACCGTCTTCTCAATTAAACAAGGAAAATATTAACTGTAATATTTAAGATGTCTGTACTTTTCTATCGTAGCAAATCACTCCGTTGTATCGTTGTTAATTTTCCAACAGGAATGGCTGGAGTCGCAAGGCCTGGAGTTATCGAAAGAAGAGGCGCTTCCAGTCGATGCGTACACTCAAAAGGAAAGATGGAAGTCAGTTAAGCCACCAACGAGGGCTAAATCCCATGACGATCCATTACTTCGGTTTCTACAATACGATGGGAAAGTTTTAACGTAAGTCTCTTTAAATTCTCTAAAATAGTCTTGAAAAATTAGGATTTAGAAGTTGTTTAAAATGCGCTATATCTTGTGCCTGTTTCAATATTCGAAAATGATAGCTACGTCTAAAATGATTTATTACCAGTAGTTCCATTTAGTCAGTTCCACATGGAACTAGTGGGAATAGGTATTTGAAGCGGCGAATTATACCCGGTAGTTCCATGAAGTCATTTCCAACCTAGCCTGTTGTATTATACCTTATATCTAAGATTAATAACCAAAGCGAGCACATCTATAGCAGTAGGAATACAGACTTTTTCATACGAACTTCAAATACTTGCTGCCCAACTGCTTTTAGTAGTAGTGTGATAAATTTTATCCTTAATGTTACACTCTTGTGTAACATGAAGGATACAATTCTTTTACGGCTAACGTAAATCCAGTTTCATTCAAATTCCTCAATCGGATTTTACGTGAATCGCGTTTAGAAAACGGTCAAACAGGCAAGAATTTTAAAAATTATATTTTTAGCATCTATTACATCTATAAAGAACTCCTGTGCTATTTTTGTTATTATTTTCCTTGTACAACATCACGCGTCTTACAGATTTATTATATCTACAGATAATTATTTGTTTATCTGACGTTCATTACTTTGCCCAGACTTTGTATTGTTTTTTTAGAAAAAGTATGTTTTTAGTTCGTTTAATTCTTCTTTTGTTGACATTGACATTAATGACATTGAGCTGACATTAAAATTAATTAGATAATTAATATCAGCTGTAAATTAAATCTATATACTTAATAATAATTGAAAATAGCTAGCGCTATCGAGCCTATATATGGCGATCAACATTATGCCGTCTTAGTCACTAAAAATTCAGGCTACAAGCTTCATCCACAAAAAATATAATAGTTAATCATGGCACATCTGTGTATTGTTTTAGATAATATTTATATAATAGATGATAGTTATGTACGGAAATATACCTAATACAATTATTTATTTTTATACCTACGACACACTAATTATATACTCTATTATGTAGAGGTACTTACAGTTTCAAATAAGCTTATACATTTAAAACCCTGCCGTGGAGTAAACGAAATGTGAATGCTGCACCGCCTGTAACTGCACTGTCAAACGAACGTTAATGAGACGGTCGTTGGCGAAATGGCCGGCGGCAACGCAAACAGAAATGGGGATGACAAAGAACATCGTTGCAGTAGAGTAGATAATGAATAGCTTTATACTTGTTTAAATAGCTGACGGGTTTATTACGTACAGTCAATTAAAGTTAATGCTGTTAAAATAATATTTGTAAACAAAGACATGATTTACATTTTAGATACGCTGTTTCTTTAAATGACTCGAGAATATTGTTTCAAGTCATTGATCAAAAAGTCATCAACAATATTCATGGCTAACGATAACAACTATGACAAATTAAAAGAAAAAAAACGTTTGGAACTTGTGAATCACTTTTTTCGGTCTACTACAACAGTCTATAGAATACCACACTGCCAGTTCCATCTTATAATTGAAAAGTGCGCCCAAAGTTTTGCCCTACTCTTCAGCCAGGAGTCATTCATTTAGCGCTCGTTATATGTCTGAGATTACGAAAACTCTATTGTTATTTACATATTAGCATTCATTTATTTCTTTTAAAACAAGAAGAATTCCACGCGTTCTGGGTTTAAAACCATGGCTAGTAGCTATACACACTTCACGAAATAAGCTCACAAACATCGTATTACGATTTACTTCCTTATATTGATCCTATACACGTACAACCTTAATTGTCATGTTCATCTTTTCGCGTTCATTTTTTCAAATTTTCGCCTCGTCTACCGACTTACTAACGTTATCTGAAGAACTACGAGTAAAGAAGTATTTTATTAAATTAGAGTAGTTTGTTAAGCTCGTTCATTTATTTATTTAGTATTTTATTTATTTTGATTATTATTTTGTGTAGCTTATTTATTTGTGTTTATAGTTTTGTTATATGCTTATTTAAAATTTATCTTATTGTTTTAGTTACTTAAACAATAAACAACAGATACCTTTTTAGTTGAACGGAGCCTTTTACTCTTATTTTAATACAATGCACTTTTTTGGTATTGTATCTCGAATTTATTTACTTGTTTTTTTACTTGGTTAATTTATAATTGTCATCGATAAATATGTATTCACTTGGGACATAATGCCAATGCATACTCGGTAAACTCTAAAATCGTACGAGAAAATGCCACACATTTAGTTACCCCTTCGAGATAAAAATATAATTGGCCTGTTATAACGGGTCTGTTGGTCTAGTGGTTAGTGACGCTGACTGCTAAGCCAGAGATCGTGGTCGTGGTCGTCTCAGTTGAAACTAGTTTCAATTATTGATTTACAGTCTGTTCTCAATTACGTTTCCTCATTATTGACATTATTATTTCGTAATACGCAGCTAATTATATTAAAAAATAATTTCTTTCAAGTTATAATGACAAACAATGTTTATATTTTCATATTTCTAAAATTTATATTATTACAATAATATAAACCTTTTAACATAAACCAAAAGGTTTTGATTTTAATTTAAACAAGTATTGCGTGTGTAAAATGTGCATTTCAGTGAATTTCATTTCAATTTCAATTAAGGTAAATTAAAGTGAATTGATTATGTACGACAAGTCATACTTTCGTTAATAAAGTAAAGTAAATCTTTTTAATTCTTCAGAAACAAATAATTGTAAAACACATTTATTTTCCCTAAAATGCCCTGGAAATCACGCTTGATACCAGTATCAGCTTATCTCACGTAAACAAAGATCACATGCCAGCTGTCAAAATCTATACCTGAGTAAAGATTTCGCTATAAACATCGTTCTACATTAAGCTATCATTTACTGTCAAGACTAGTCACTTGTTCGATACTTAACCCTATTTCGATACACTAGATCTATACTTACTTTAATTTTAACAATATAAATCTAGAATTCCATAACGATAATAAATTAAAGTAAATATACCAATCTGTGGAACAAGTTATCGGCTGCGGTATTTCCGGAACCATACGACCTTCAAACCTTCAAGAAAAGAGCGTACCCTTTCCTCAAGGGCTGGCAGCGCGCTTGTGACTCCTGAGTTGCAGGCGTTCATGGGCGGCGGTAAACGCTTTCCATCAGGTGGTCTGCTCGTTTGCCCCCTTTTTCCATAAAAAAAAAATATTACGATCAGCGACCAAGTAACGAATGGACAACTATTATCTATTACCAGGATATTTTCCTAGGATATCCACAAATACGAATACAGTTACGGATATCCGACACATTACTACTACATGTTAAGGAGCAAGGGCATTTAGGACATGTTGAAATTTTTGTTGCACCTCTTGTTATGTAGAAAAAAATATAGGAGATGAACGTATGGAAAGACATGGATTGAAAATATTACCCACTTAACTTTGCATACGCACTTCCTACAATTTAAGCCTAGAGTTTAAAATACAAAGGTCAGAACCAGACCACTACTGGCCCTCTCCACCACCCGTCACTTTTCCTCTAAAGTTATAAAAATTACGGTCGAGAATCTTATCGGTTGGTTCCGTTGCACCTTTCAACATTTTGATATCCCGTGAAATACACCATACACCATACAAACACCTGTAAACACTAATGATTAGGGTGTTTTTGTCAGTACAAAGAAAATTAATCTTATACAACAGGTGTCATTAGCTTAATCATCATAGTTTTACGACATCTATGAAACAGGACAGTAAGAGGAAATTACAAGCTATTATTTCTGATTTTTTCAAAGATATAACTTTTTTTTATATATACAATAAAAGCATACACTACTTGTGAAATGGGAGAGGCCTGGCCAGGGATGATACACTATTTGAACGATTGATGTACTAAACTACTATTGTTGTAAATTTAACTCAAATCAAAGAGCTCTGTTTTATTGTGAACCCATTGTGATACCCACTGCAGGCAGTGGGCACCCAGCTACAAAAGTAATTCTCTGTTAAGAAACTTGTTATTCAAAGACTCGTCTACCAATCTTTACACTCTTACGTAGACTTTGATGTAGATTGATGAATCTGAATAAGTGTAATCACGTTGCGCATGCCAAACCTAATCATAATTCGGTTAGAACTGCTAACTGCTATGACCGCTCTAGTTATCAGAGTTTTCGTTAGGGAACATCCTAACTCGGATACTCGAATTAACGTGAGTCACTGTGGGTTTATTGGATTACCCTAAAACAATGTGCCTACATTCGTGATTTCTCACCACAGTACAGGGTTTTATAGCGTGGTGAGAAGTAAGGGGTTCATTCACGTAAAAGTTATTTTTCTATCCCTCGTTACTTTTTCTGTATAAAATATCCATTGTCCTTTTCTATAGCCATGATAATTCGTATGCAAAATTATAAGATAATTGATCAAGCCTAAATCATGATTGCGTAACAAACAAACAAACTCTCATTTACATTATAACATCAGCAGCTGTTTCACATGGCTTTGCTCGCCGTGAAGGGGATTTAGAGAGATAGTATTACTTTGGTATTTATAATATTAGTATATTATTAAGTCAGTCAGTTAACACCTAGCTTTTCTGCAGTTAAGCCAATTTCAGTTAATAAAATGAGCCGCGTATCTTAGAGCCGCTTAATTTAGAGCGGAGATATAGGCAAAGAAAGCTACTTTTTTAGGTTTTTATTTTAAAAATTGACCCGAAAGTGTTACAAATAGTATAAATAACCTAACTCCTAAACTAGTGTGCACTGTGTTACAGGGTACAAAAAATCTTCTATTCAGTATCTCTCAAACTTTAAATAAGTTTTCAAATTGGTTTGCAGGTTTTTTTTTTTTTATAGCGATCTATTGAATTAATTTTTATTTATTTGAATTAGTTATTGACCATTATTAGGTTTAATGTCCATACTAAGTATTTAATACTTTTAAAACCAGATTATACGAAAGGTGCATAAGGGATTATCAATAAAATCCAACCAAGCCAAA